CACTGCCTCGGTTAAAAAGTGATCTTAGAACTTTAGGACAATTACTAAAAGTTCTCGCCCAGTTACCTTAGTAACCATAAACGTCCCTTCGATAATCCCTCAACATTCAATGATAGGGCTACCTACTCACTAATAGTAGGATAACACTATCTAAAGGAAAGGAGGAAAATAACATCTTTTTCGAGTAGGTAGATAGCTGTTAGGTACTTGCTCAAAAACCATTTTTTCACACTACACTTTCAAAACCATTTTCAAAAAACGCTTTATCAACACTCTTGAGGACTGATACAAGAGTTAGCATAAAGAAAACAAAATTTTCAAAACACACAAACACGAAAGCAATTTTCAAAATGAGCAAGTATCTAAGAGTCCGTGGAAATCCACAGACGGAAAGGGTGCTAACACCTTCCCTTTCCATAATCTACCCCCTTACTCAGAAACTCTCGAAAAATGTCTTTTTCTATTCTTTTCACCCTTTCCTTTATTGGATAAAAGAAAAGTCGGTGGTGACTCTTGCTTACCGCACATTTGCGAATATAAAACACAAACCAATATAACAGTCGGTTTTGCCACCGTATCACACATGGACTTGTTTGAAACCTAAAAAGTTAAGTCAAAAGTCCAAAATTTCAAGTTTGCTCATTTTGCATTTCATGCATTTCCTTAAAATTTCCCAACTTGCACTGATCATAACTCTCACAATTTTAATCTTTTGAAGGTAATCTGGACTTTTTGGAAAGCTCAAGATGTCCTCTATAATTTCTCTTTTAATCATTTTTGCATTTGAAGACTTTATCGTGATGTAAGGTGCCTTGACAAAAAGTGTCTTTTTGTTGACTTTTGAAATGACCTGTAATGTATTAGCTCATATCTTTCAAATGAATCACTTTTTGGACTTGAGCATACATATACAAAGTTGCAGAGAATTGAATTTCCTTTAAAATTGTATTTGGTTGGGAAAAAGTTGATGAAGCATGTGAAAGTTATGCTTGGTCAATGTTCAGTTGACTTCTCCTAAGGAATCCCTAATTTGGCAACTTTTGACCTTTGATGATTTGAGGGCTTTCTTTAAGGAATCATGACCAACCTTTGGTCAAATGATGAATATCACTTCAAAATGTTGATGTTGATAAAAAATCTTGAAGTTTGACTGCATGTTGACCATAGTTGACTTTTTATCTAATACAATTGATTTTTAATCATCTGAGCTATTGACTGAGCAAACTTGTGATACAAGGCTTGAAACTTGACATGAGCATTTTTAAAGACATATGATGAACCATGGAAATCATTTGAGACCTCTGAAACCCAATTTTCTTTGTGCAATATGAAACCATAATTGTAGACCCATTGCTTAGGAGGAGAGTTTGTCTGATCAACTCTTGAGAATCCTTGAGCATTTGAGAACCCTAGAAGAATGTCTTGAAGAAAATGGGAGGGAAAATTTTGGGGTACAACACATACCACAATACAAGTTCATTAAAATTTATTGTCCCATCACTAATAAAGTTGAATTCAGCAAATACGTCATTGTGAAATAGTTAGAAGCATGGGCGTGGAGAAATTCTCAGTCTAACTCTGGTGTAGTGTTAATACCTGAGGTAACTTCTGAAGATAGTTCAGAATTTGAAGATTCTGAAGTTGAGTCAGAGTCAGAAGGAGACTCTGAAGACGACTCAGAGTCAGAAGATGATTCTGATTCTGAAGGTGAATCTGATGATGATCCAGATTCTGATAATGATCCAGATTCTGATGATGGTCCATATTCTAGAGGTGGTCCAACTTCTAAGGGATGTCCAGAAGGTGATATGGTTCCAGAATCAGAAGGAGATTCTAAACAAGTCTAGAAGCCACAGAAAATCAGACAAATACCAAGGAGATTCAGAGTTTGACATGTTCCAAGATATTGAAGTAGACCCTGAGGGAGAAATCGTTCAATGTGACATGTTAGTAGAATATGAACCAATTAGTGTTGAAGGAGATCTCAAGAAGAAAGTGTGATTGAAGGCCATGAAAGAATAACTTGAGGCTATAGAAAGAAATAAGACCTGGGAGTTAACTAAGCTTCCAAAGGAGAAGAAATCCATTAGCATCAGAAGGGTTTTTAAGATAAAGTTGAATCCAGATGGATCAATTGGAAAATACAAAGAAAGGTTAGTAGCTAGAGGATTTTTACAAAAATTTGGACTAGATTACTTCGAGGTGTATGCGCCTGTAGCTAGACATGAAACAATCAAATTGGTTATTGCTATAGCTGAAAAGAAAAATTGGCCTTTGATACATCTAGATGTGAAATATGTATTTCTGAACGGTTTATTATAGGAAGAGGTATACGAGTCACAACCTCCTGGATTTGTGAAAAATAATCAAGAAGGGATGGTGTACATATTACATAAAGCATTGTTTGGACTGAAACAAGCACCCAGAGCTTGGAATCTGAAAATTAATTCATTTTTTCAGCTGCAAGGATACAAAAAGTGTGAGATGGAGTATGGCATTTATGTTCAGCATACTTCTGAAGACAATATGATTCTAATGTGTCTTTATGTTGATGACATGTTGCTAACAGGGAGTTGCTCGATAGTCAAGTTCAAGAAGGTGCTGATGAATGAATTTGAGATGAATGATCTAGGAAATATGGTGTATTTTCTAGGGATAAAGATTATGTACTCTGAGAATGGTATAATTTTGCATTAGCTGAAGTATGAGTTTGAGCTTCTGAAGAGATTTAAGCTAACAAATTACAAGTCTGCAATCACACTCGCTGAGATAAATCACAAGCTGGATTCTGATGTTAAGGGTGATGATGTAGATGCTTCAATTTTTAAATAGTTTGTTGGCTCATTGAGATATCAGTGTAACACCAGACCTGCTATTTATTATGCTGCTGGAATGGCGAGTAGGTTTATGAACAAACCGAAGTGGTCATATTGACAAGTTGTTGTTAGAATATTGAGGTACGTTAAGGGGACTCTGAGGTGTGAAGTGTTGTTCCCTTCTAGTGTTAAATCTTACTCAGATCTGATATGCTATTCAGACTCTGATTGATGTGGAGACAGAGTTGACAGAAGAAGTACTTACGAATATTTTTTTTAAGTATTTGGGAAGTCGCATTTCTTGGTACTCCAAGAAGCAATCTGTGGTTTCGTTGTCAACTTGTGAAGCTGAATAAATTGCAGGTGCTTTGACTGTGTGTTATGTTGTTTGGTTGATGAATTTGTTGCAGGATCTGAAGATCAAGGTAAACAAATCTGTGAAGTTGATGATTGTCAACAAATCAGCTATAAGCCTTGCTGTATGAGAGAAGCAATCACATTGACACTAAGTTCCATTTCTGATAAGTCAAGTCTAGAATGGAGTGCTGGAACTTGCACACTGTAGCATCCAAAAGCAATTTGTAGATGTTCTGACGAAAGCTGTCAAAACTGAACACTTTATCCGCTTAAGGGATGAAATTGGTGTTGTAAAATTTAGTTAGCTGAATATGAATTAAGTGATAGTGTTAGAAGTAATTCATATTCAGAAGTATTTGTGTTAGTCAGAAGCAAAAACTTCTGAGGTTGCGTTTCAGAAGTACGTTTAGCTTCTGGAGTCCTAATTTATTTTGTTAGATTAGCTATTAAGTATACTTTTGTTAGGGCCTACGTGACAGTTTATTTTGTGTATTTAAACAAGTTTGTGACTAGAGTTTTGTAATATAATTGTTAATAGAGTTTCTTTCTCAAGAAATTTATTACAACCGTCTTTCTCTTTCTCTTTTTCCATCTTTATTTTTTATCTTCAACTTTTCTACACTAATATATTATTTATTCAATGAATCTAAAAATTAAAATTTATTTATAAAAGAGAATGGAGGAAACATATAAATGCTCCGCGTTCGTGTAAGTATCATATATGATAACAATCATCCAGAAAAATACATTCAAACAAACTTCTACGTGATATAATATTACTGTTTTTTTCGAATTATAAACTTTCTGAGACCATTAATATATTTTAATAATAATTACATTTACGAGTGATTATATTTTTAAATCGAAAAACTATATATAATTTTAGTTTTTTTTATTTTAAATTCATCTCAACTTTATGACAGTTAAAATTTTGAATATCTTAAATCATGTAGTACAAATTTAATATACAACATGCTAGTTTAACCTATACATGAGCATCCATTTTATTATTCACAACATAACCTACAACTTTAATGGAATCAACATCCCATGATCTTATTATTTTTTAGAAACCATTTCTTCCCACATTTTCTACCATATCGTAAGACTATTCTCACTTCTCAGCCCGTTCAAATTCTTTCATTATAAGCCGTAAAATAACCTCATTAATCAATTTAAATTTCTTCAACTAAAGTTACGTGAACTCTATAAATAAAATTGGACAGCATGATGAAAAATAGTAAAATTATTCATTAATAGAGAGCAGAGGATAAAATAATATTTTAATAAGTTGATTGTTATAGTGAAGAATAAGGTGACCATGCATATATGAAAATACTAATATACTAGTAGTAATTAGAGGAAAATGAAAGTATGAATGGAGTTAATGATTTAGTTTTGTGTGGTGGGTTATTTTTTAATCTGAAATGCGTATTTTACTCCATGAATGAAATTAGAAACAGAAATGATTGGTGTGTAGAGAAAGAATGAATGAATGAGTGATAGATAGATAGTCCGTAAATTTCTCATCTCTCTCTTCTCTCCGATGGTCCCAATTGGGTGTCATGCTTGTTATATTCATTTCATTTGAATTAGTTATCTTCATTTCCACGACACTATTACCCCAAACCCAACCTAGGTATTCATCTATCTTCACGTCAATTTCTTCTTGTTATTATTGATTTATAACTTGTTCAATGCCTCTGCGCGTAATTGCAGAGATTAATTGTGTGTGTGGATAATTGATCTATGGTTTTCATTTTTGTTTGTAAAATTATTAATTAAATATATATTTTTTATCAAGCTAGCTGATCATATTAGAAGAAGATGGCAGACGCTGAGGATATCCAACCTCTTGTTTGTGACAATGGAACAGGAATGGTCAAGGTAGATTATAGATCATATTTTCTTCTATAATTTCAATTTATTGTTATGTAAGATGATACATTTATTTACGCCATTGCAATGTACTCATTTTACAGGCAGGTTTTGCTGGAGATGATGCCCCACGCGCTGTGTTTCCGAGCATTGTAGGTCGTCCACGTCATACCGGTGTTATGGTTGGCATGGGCCAAAAAGATGCATATGTTGGTGATGAGGCACAGTCTAAACGTGGTATCCTCACTCTCAAGTACCCAATTGAGCATGGTATTGTTAGCAATTGGGATGATATGGAAAAGATTTGGCATCATACCTTTTATAATGAGCTTCGTGTTGCACCTGAAGAACATCCAGTTCTCTTAACAGAAGCTCCTCTTAATCCCAAGGCTAATCGTGAGAAGATGACTCAAATCATGTTTGAGACTTTTAATGCTCCGGCTATGTATGTGGCCATTCAGGCTGTTCTTTCACTTTATGCCAGTGGTCGAACAACCGGTAAGCATGAGTAGTAGTAATTCATGGTCGGTCTAGTAATGATGCTGATTTATTTTGCTTATTTTTTGTGTGCAGGTATTGTGTTGGATTCTGGTGATGGTGTCAGCCACACTGTCCCTATTTATGAGGGTTACGCCCTCCCACACGCCATCCTCCGTCTTGATTTGGCCGGCCGTGACCTCACTGATTTCTTGATGAAAATTCTGACAGAGCGTGGCTATTCTTTTACCACATCAGCAGAGCGTGAAATTGTGAGGGATATGAAGGAAAAACTGGCTTACATTGCTCTTGATTATGAGCAAGAGCTAGAGACATCCAAGACCAGCTCTGCAGTGGAGAAGAGTTATGAATTGCCTGATGGTCAGGTGATCACTATTGGTGCTGAGCGTTTTAGGTGTCCAGAGGTTTTGTACCAACCATCCATGGTGGGAATGGAAGCGGCAGGAATTCATGAGACCACATACAATTCCATAATGAAATGTGATGTTGACATCAGGAAAGACCTGTATGGTAACATTGTCCTTTCAGGAGGTACAACCATGTTCCCTGGCATTGCTGATAGAATGAGCAAGGAAATTTCTGCACTTGCACCTAGTAGCATGAAGATCAAGGTGGTAGCACCACCTGAGAGAAAGTACAGTGTCTGGATTGGTGGTTCTATCTTGGCTTCCCTCAGCACTTTCCAACAGGTCTGTTATTTTACCTAAGCACCGACATCTCTGAAAAAAAGACGTGCCCGTATTGGTATCAGAGAATTGTATCAACACTTATAATTATTGTTTAATTTATTCTTTATTTTAAATTATTATTGGTATTACTGTGTATCAGTGTCAGGATGGTATTTGAATATGTGTGTGATAGTTTTTTTTAACTATAATTGCTAACGAGTAACATTGATTATTCTTTTCCTTTGTGTGCAGATGTGGATTGCAAAGGCTGAGTATGATGAGTCTGGACCATCAATTGTGCATAGGAAGTGTTTCTAAATTGTTTCAACAATAAGGTTATTAAAGGAAAAAGCTGCTCTTTTGTAACCCTTTCAATCTAGCTTTTATTATTTGTTCATGTTATTTTCCAGGAATTCAGCGTCAAATGGTCCAATTTTTTTCTCCCCATTATTATATGTATTTTGATAAGTTTATTAACATTCATTAGGAGTCTAATTTAGCTGAGACTATCAAATGATATATGTATATTGGTTCTTCATATGCAAGTTACAATGTCAATCTTTTAAAATTTAAATTTTATATTTTTAGTGTAACTGATTTTTAAAATTTACAATGGTGATCAACCGGGACATAATATTGAATTACTTGTATATTGGTGAGTCATTTAATTGACCCGCCTAAGGATTAATATAATATCTAATCTATATATAAAAAAAAAATAAGATATCCATGTATTCGTAAATATTAGTGTGATATATGAAATTATTAACTGTTGTTTGTAATTTTTGAAGAAAAAAAAATTGTTGTGCGAAATAAATTATATTGCTCTTTGAAAAAAAAACTATGTTTAATAAAATTTTTAAAATGGAAGAATTATTTAAATGACATTTTTAAATAATAATAAATAATATGTGTCATACATAAATTAATCGAATGAGAAAATATTGTAAACAAATAAAAAAGTTAAATTTATATATCATGTTTAATAAATAAATGAATAAGTTATTAAAGACATGAAAATTAAATTTATTTTTGCAAATATAAATATACTATAAAATTGTAGTTTAGCCAACTATTACATAAAAATGGATTCATTTTGAAAATAAATGACACATTTGGATGATAGTATTTGGGTCAGAATTAGAATTTGGAACAAATTAATTAATGGTCTGTTATGTATTGACATGTTTGTTGCGTGTTTAAGTATAAACTGACCATAATTCATAAGTTGTTAAATTCTTTGATAAATATATTACGGAGAATGCCAATGATAATATATACACTTAATGAAAATGTGACTTAAAATTAGTAAGTTATTGGAAAATTTAGTTATAAATTGACTGTGTGTTAATAATCTGATATTTTCGTATTTTCCATTTACATTCGATGTAAATATATATTCAATGACACTTATTGTTTTCTAAAATATTATCTATAGTGTCAAATCAGTCTAGTAGACTGCTTTCTCACTAGTTAGATGAAAGAACATATGTTCAACGGTAGATTTCCTTCCATGAACATTGCAAGAAAAAATTCGCCAACATGCTTCAATTTGAAGAGATATACCTACAATCTAGATATTTATTTGATCTCATCAATTGACTCTTGATCTTTCACCGACGCTCTTTCACCGATGCTGACTTAGAAGGAACCATAGTTGTAGTGATTCTATCTTAGTCTTTGTGAATATATTTGAAAGGGTTAATAGCTATTTTGTCCCCTGCCATATAAGCGAGTTTTGAAATACTTCCTGTAAAAACAATTTCAAAAATCCCTCTGCCATATGAAGATTTCTCCGTTTTTCTCCCTCAAAAAGTTTACCATCAATAATCTATTAAATTTCATGTAATTTTCTTCTTGTTTTTAAGGATTTATACATATTTTTGGTAAGGAGAAGTTATATATAAAGCAACAAAGAGAATCATAGTAAGCAGTTATATATACAACGAGAAGTTTAATAATCTGATTTGGAGGAAGCACGATAGCTTTTGCCATGAATTTTTGATAAGGAGTTAGCTAAAAATTGTTGAGTTTAGTGACCAAACTTAAGGCTGTGAGCTAACTTGGCTCGAAATGTGAACCAATGATTCCTTAGGAATATTAAAACAAAATAGAAATAAGCATAAGCAAATCTATAAACATATAGGTTCTGTTAATAATATAAAGTTGTGTTCTTAATCACACTTATTAAGAAAATCCTTGATTGGAGATAAATCGACATTGATATACATTTTGGTTACATTGTAAGTGTTTGTAAAAGAGAGTCGATACTTTTCTACATGTATAAAAATATGACCAGGTTAGAGTATACTCTATTAATGGAAATTTGTATGTATAAAGAAAAGGAAAGAAATTTAAAACAACGTTCTTCTTTAACTTCAGCGTACTAGAGTAAGATGACAATTGGCAAAGACAAATCCTTCTGTTGTTGATGGTAAATGATTAATTACAAGGATTACGCATCCCAAAAGGTATAATTTAGGTTGTTGTTGCTACAAAATATGAAAGAAACATTAACACATAGTAATATAAGCTAAAGTAAGATATATGTGAGATTAGTGTGCATTGGTAGATATCATACATACTCCCAATGTCTCAAGACGAAGTTGGCTGATTTTTACTACCACTATGGGTTTGTGTGTAGCCTATGTCATCAAATTCCTATTATGTCTGAAAAGTGGTTGTAAACATGAGTTGATTGAAGAAAACAAATTTAAAAATTAGTTGGTAGTTTGTAGAAACAAAGATTGACACCTATTAGGATATCTTTCTTCCATCTCTCGGTAATGATATCACCAAAAGATGTGAACTTTATAGTTTTGTCCGGAATCAGATGTTTGTTGTTATCACTAACGATTGTGCCTCCAGTGAATTTCAACAAATATTTGTGTTGGAAAAAATTGGTTTGTACCATATCCCTAAGATTTTGATAATAACAAAGTATTTAAAGAACAATTGGGTATACTAATGTTTGTTCAAGTGTGTAAGACCATATACTAAAATTTATGATACAAGCTAAGTTCTGACACAAAAGCTGAGCATTAAAGAAAAGCTTAAAGGTCCTGAATCTAAAGGATTAGAACCTGAGAATTAGACTCTGAAGACCCAGACTCTGAAGAGGTCAACTACTGAAGACCAGAATCTAAATAAAGTCAACCTTTGAAGACCCGAAATCTGAAGACTCCGACACTAAAGCTGGTCAAACAGAAAGATCAAGAAGACTTTGAAAGGTCATAATCAAACGTTGAGGTTATTTTTTCTTCTTATGATCAGGTGTATAACCAAAAAAAAATTGCATAGACAACAACGATGGATCGAATAATTCCTTTTGAAGCAAAGGAATTCCAAATGACCTTTGCAAAGGATTAACCATATCAAGCAACATTCCAACGTCTCTGATCAAAGATTCTCCAAAGACTCACTTATGCATGAAGTCCTCTTCAATGTCTCTTTTATGTTTCTCTAAATAAGGAGTTGAATTCTTGGAGAACAACAACAAATAATTAACAAACAAAGAGCGAAGGAAGAGAAAACACAAGAAAGGGGGTTTGAATTGAGTTTATAGAAAATATTCCCCTTTATAAATTCTAATCACTCAAATGATAAAAGATATACAGACAATAAAGAGTAAAGAACTCAAGTGATTTATCCAAGTTCACCTTAATAAGGTTAATCATGTCCACTCCTTAAGGTTATTTGCCTTTAACAAGGACTTAATCCACTATAACCAAACTAATTACAAATGCACGGGCAACAACCAATGACTAACAGACAATGACACATTCAGTGATCCAACTTAACATATATAACGTTCATTGACCCAATAGAATCAGATCAATTAAGATCTCCTATCAGGATTTTCCACAATGACCAGCAACCATTGTCTTCTTGAGATCAGACCTTCACTCAGTCTCTCAAGGAACCTTTCAATGATATGTTCAGTGATCCGATTTAACGAATATAATAATCATTGACCCAACAGAATCAGATCACTTAAGATCTCCTATTAGGATTTTCCATAATGACCAACAGCCACTGTCTTCTTGAGATCATACCTTCACTCAGTCACTCAAGAAACCTTTCAATGATATGTTCAGTGATCCGATTTAACAAATATAATTATCATTGACCCAACAGAATCAGATCACTTAAGATCTCCTATTAGGATTTTCCATAATGACTAGTAGCCACTGTCTTCTTGAGATCAAACCTTCACTTGGTCACTCAAGGAATCAATTAACAATGATTGATAGGGTTTTGTGTTTACATGATTTCTTCTTCTAAGCATATTACACAAGTGGTTGAGCAAATATTGTTTAACATAATTTTGAGCAACAACTCTTGTGTTAAACAATTTACATGGAGAGATTAGAATTATAACACAATACGAGCAACAACTCTTGTGTAAATTACAATGTTCTATCAAGATGTATTTGATTAGAAGTTGGGTAGCATCTTGTAGTGTTCTTCTTCTTCATCTTCTTGTTGAGCAAGTTACGAGCAACAACTCCTTGCTTCTTCTGAGATCTACCAAGATGTATATGATGATAGTTTGTGTAACATCTTATAGATTTCTTCTTCTTTATCTTTCTTTTTTCTCTCATTTTCTGTGTAGTGGTCTTCAGCATCTATAACATTGAAGCTTTGACAACTTCAACATCCATAGCTTTTTATCTTGTTATAGAAGAATCACTCTTACATCTTAGAACCTAAGTCTTGGAGTCTTCAGAACTTGTCCCATCAGAACCTTGTCTTCAGATTCTTCAGCACTTGGTCGTAAGAACTTGCTTTTCTTCAAATCATCAGAACTTGTTCAACATAACCTCATCTTTATAATCTTCAAAACTTGGAACACACAAAAGCAAAGCTTTAGAAGGCCTTCAAAGCTTAACCATAAAGTCACGATCAGAACCTCTTGTACTAACATTCCTAAGAACCGTTGCATAAGATGAATTCCAGAATCTTGACTTCAACTGTAACACGTAACCACATGTTTCCTTCTAGTGGTGTTTATGTTCAAAACCTGATGGCATCACACGCCTTGATACCAGAGTTAGAACATTATAGCAGCAACTACACACTAGAACGAAACCAATAAAGTATATACTTGTTTTTTATGATACTATGTAAAGTTATCATAAAAAATCTTAAGTCTAGGTGTAGAAACACTTCTTGTTCTTACAAAGAGTTGTTACTTGTCAAATCAAAAATCACAAGCTAAACTTAGAATATATTAACTTTGTATACTTTAGAAATTATTAAGTCTTAATAGTCTTATGTGTTGTATTTTGTTTAAACCTATGATTGTATACCAATCC